CAGCGTCTTCACAGTACGGGAAGCACTACATGGCACAGCGTCTTCACAGTACGCACTACATGGCAACAGCGTCTTCACAGTACGGGAAAGCACTACATGGCAACAGCGTCTTCACAGTACGGGAAGGCACTACATGGCAACAGCGTCTTCACAGTACGGGAAGGCACTACATGGCAACAGCGTCTTCACAGTACCACGACATGGCAACAGCGTCTTCACAGCACGGAAGGCACATGGCAACAGCGTCTTCACAGTACGGGAAGGCACTACATGGCAACAGCGTCTTCACAGTACGGGAAGGCACTACATGGCACCAGCGTCTTCACAGCACGGGAACGCACTACATGGCAACAGCGTTTTCACAGTACGGGAAAGCACTACATGGCAACAGCGTCTTCACAGTACGGGAAAGCACTACATGGCACCAGCGTCTTCACAGCACGGGAAGGCACTACGTGGCAACAGCGTCTTCACAGTACGGGAAAGCACTACATGGCAACAGTGTCTTCACAGTACGGGAAGGCACTACATGGCAACAGCGTCTTCACAGCACGAGAAGGCACTACATGGCAACAGCGTCTTCACAGTTCGGAAAAGCACTACATGGCAACTGTGTCTTCACAGCACGAGAAGGCACGACATGGCAACAGCGTCTTCACAGTACGGGAAGGCACTACATGGCAACAGACAGTACGGGAAAGCACTACATGGCAAGCTCTTCACAGCACGGGAAGGCACGACATGGCAACAGCGTCTTCACAGCACGGGAAGGCACGACATGGCAACAGCGTCTTCACAGTACGGGAAGGCACTACATGGCAACAGCGTCTTCACACGTGGCACCAGCGTCTTCACAGTACACTACATCAACAAGAAGGCACTACATGGCAACAGCGTCTTCACAGTACGGGAAAGCACTACATGGCAACAGCGTCTTCACAGTTCGGGAAAGCACTACATGGCAACTGTGTCTTCACAGCACGAGAAGGCACTACATGGCAACTTCAGTGGCTCTTCACAGTACGGAAGGCACACATGGCACAGCGTCTTCACAGTACGGGAAAGCACTACATGGCAACAGTGTCTTCACAGCACGAGAAGGCACTACATGGCAACAGCGTCTTCACAGTACGGGAAAGCACTACATGGCAACAGCGTCTTCACAGCAGGCAACAGCGTCTTCACAGTACGGGAAAGCACTACATGGCAACAGCGTCTTCACAGTACGGGAAAGCACTACATGGCAACAGTGCCTTCACAGTACGGGAAGGCACTACATGGCAACAGCGTCTTCACAGTACGGGAAAGCACTACATGGCAACAGCGTCTTCACAGCACGTACATGGCGTCTTCACAACGGGAAGCACTACATGGCAACAGCGTCTTCACAGTACGGGAAAGCACTACATGGCAAGAGCGTCTTCACAGTACGGGAAAGTGCTACATGGCAAGAGCGTCTTCACAGTACGGGAAAGCACTACATGGCAAGAGCGTCTTCACAGTACGGGAAGGCACGACATGGCAACAGTGTCTTCACAGTACGTGGCAACAGTCTTCACATACGGAAAAGCACTACATGGCAACAGCGTCTTCACAGTACGGAAAGGCACTACATGGCAACAGTGTCTTCACAGTACGGGAAAGCACTACATGGCAACATCGTCTTCACAGTACGGGAAGGCACTACATGGCAACAGCGTCTTCACAGTACGGGAAAGCAATACATGGGCGTCTTCACAGTACGGGAAGGCACTACATGGCTTCACAGTACGGTAACATGCAACGCGTTTCACAGTACGGGAAGCACTACATGGCAACAGCGTCTTCACAGTACGGGAAGCATTGGCAACAGCGTCTTCACAGTACGGGAAAGCACTACATGGCAACAGCGTCTTCACAGTACGGGAAAGCACTACATGGCAACAGCGTCTTCACAGTACGGGAAAGCACTACATGGCAACAGCGTCTTCACAGTACGGGAAGGCACTACATGGCAACAGTGTCTTCACAGTACGGGAAAGCACTACATGGCAACAGCGTCTTCACAGTACGGGAAAGCACTACATGGCAAAGCGTCTTCACAGTACGTACATGGCAACAGCGTCTTCACAGTACGCCTACATGGCACAGGTCTTCACAGTACGGGAAAGCACTACATGGCAACAGCGTCTCACAGTACTACATGCAACCACAGGGGATTCAGCCTCCAGGCTAGTACAGTGGTAACGTGTCGGCCTCTCATCCGAGGGGTCGGCGGTTCGCGCCCCGCCCAGGCGCGAGAAGTTGCAATTGTCGCCCGGAGGTTACTGCTGTGGCCGGGCACCACGGTGGGTAAGGACTAAGCTCTGTCGCGTCAGCACTTGCTGACACACGGTGATCGAGTCGACATTAGTCGGCACAGGCCGGGCTCCCCCATAGCCCGGGCGAGGCTCAGCTTCGCATATGACTTATCCTATTAACAGCACGGGAAGGCACGACATGGCAACAGCGTCTTCACAGT